GGGGTGAGGAGAAGAGATGGGGTGAGATAGGATAAGGTGAGGTGAGAAGAGGTGAGGTGTGGTGAGGTAAGAGGAGGTGGGGTGGTATGAGGTGAGGTGAGGTGAGGTGATGAAATGAGATATGATGGCAGGGATGAGATGTCTTCTGTTGAAACGGCAGTGCCTCTGACTGCCTTAGGGCATACAGAAGCCTGCGTCCTTGGTCGTTTAGGTATAGAGTCAGAGCTACTCTGTCGATGTGGACGTTAAAACAAACATAAATGTGAGGCAGCGTAGTGGAATCAGGCTCTCGTCAATTTTTGGGCATGTAGAGTTATTGGTACCATCTTAAAGCTTGTTCACTTGTCTTTATTTGGATGAAAAATATATCCATTTGTCTTGAATACAAGTCGAGCTAATTGCGAAAGAAGGAGGTGGGGGTCACCTGTTTTCAGAGGTAAAATAAGTGAGAAAATCACCGCAAAAGATTAGCTATTTCCTTAGCTCATGAGTTCGTGGTCACTGAAAATTTACTTTTTTGTGCCTTAAATCACGTTTTCCAGAAAAATCCACACAGAAATGAGTTTTTTAATGGGCATGAAAGGGTTTGAGCCAAAAACAAAAAAAAAATTTGAAAAAAATTTACAAACCTGCGGAAAAATGCAAGTTTCTTCACTTTGATTATTTTGACGAAAGCCTGATTCCACCACGCTGCCTCACAAATTAAGCAACACTGAGTCCGGAGTCTGACTTCAAATGCTCAAATCTCACTTACATTCTGGCCTGAATGGAAAAAAAACCCCACTGACATAATCTTTCCACATTGAGCTTTTTAGGCGGGGGTGGGGTTGGGGGCTAAACACTCTTCATGTGTTATTCTTATGAAAAACACCCCCAACAAATTATGCATAGATTTTACCCAATAACGTCATTCAAAGGCACAGTTTAAAAAATGTTCGTAGCTTTTAAAGACATCCAAACTTTGGAATTTACCAAATTTCGGCGGCTATTTTCTCTGTAGTTTTATCTCTGACACCCGACAACTCCCACCTCCTTCAATCGCAAAAATCTCGATTTCTATTCAAGATAGACAGATATTATTATTTTTATCAAAATCTAGATAAACGAACTAGCTTTTAGATGATAGAATCATCCACATAAGACATTTCAAAAATTGACGTGCACCTGATTCCACCGTGTCGTGACATATTCAAAGCCTGAACTCGCGAACTCGGGCGGTTGAAGGGTGTCACTGTTAATTCTGTGGTTACCCTAAACCTCTCTCCTGTGTCTGTGGGCTCTCTGTTTCTTGCCCCCCCCCCACCCATCCTTCCAAACGGCTACCCCCCCCCTCCCAGTCCCATTCCCAATCCCTCTAACCCCCAACGTTTGACCAGCACTAAATAATCACAAGTTCTATTGCGTCTACGTGCTAGTCTTTATCTCTTTATCTCCGACAAACAACCCGAAAGCCCTCAGCCATGTCAGCGCTAAGAAGTCTTTGCTGTTGCGTAATTTATTAAATTGACGTCTGTAAACTGCAAACACAAGCCAACCAGGATCTTGTACGTGCAACATCGGACGGAAGTTTTGTTTTTTTTGGTTTTGTTTAGCGATTTTTTTTCTGTTACGATGAAGTGTTGGAATTTATACCCCCTTACCTTTGGAAAAGAAAACCTACGCACAAACAAACCAACACACACACACACACACACACAC